CATCAACACTATAGGTAGCATATGTACAAAACATGACAGTGCCACCAGAAAAACAAATGTGGCAGGGTTAAAACTATGTCCATCTGTATGGCACCAACATTCCTGCTGACACAAACCTTCTCTCCATCCCTGATGCAGAGTGACTTGTACACTCAGCTGACCTGCTCCGTCTGATTAACTCAGGTTTGTTACGCTGACCTCAAGATCCTGAGCAAGGAAATGATTTAGGCGAGACAAGTATGTTACATGACCTTGTATATTGTTCTACTAGACTCACCCTAAACACAAATCGGTTACATTATTTGCGGAATGGTGGGACTTGTTTTAATAACCTTGTTTGCTGATAGAATGACCTACAGCAGTTGACCTGCTTTCTTGGATCTTTGATAAATGCAAGTTTTAGTCATCAACCATATTTAAAAACTTTGAGTGAGTGAGTTGGTTGGTTTTAATAATAATTTCAACAGTATTTCAATGTTACCATAGTGTGAGGAGAAAGCCCAAAGTAGGATCCTGGGAGGCCTAAGGCAGGCAACTCTGCACAGTGACATGCCTCAATGTATTAAGGAATCCCCACTAGGCCAGTTCCTGTGTCTAACCTCTAAAGCAACAGATCAAGTTCCTTCAAACTAGCATTCAAAACTAGGGACAGTCAATGTGTCTTGGTGATGCTAACATGTCTACCTATTCAAGACTAAGGGATCCTATGATTATAATACCCAAGTAAAACAACTTCAAAGAGACTAGAACCCACAATTGAATTTTGAACACTATACACAAGTCTGTGAATGTTGTTTACATTAGCTACAGAAATAGCATGGCAACCTAAACAATTTGAGTCTGGGGCAGGCAAACCAGAGGCTAAGTGCATGAGGAAAGATCAACGCTATCTGGGTACAACCACACACAATGTAGAACAAGGAATAGAAGGTGGACCATTCTGGAGGAACACAACTTCCTGAAGATAAGAGAATCAGTTGTTTCCAACATGGAGAAGTGAAATGTTCACTGTCTTCCCACTAAACCAAGCAGCTACTTGCACACCACAATCATGAAATACTTGGACCAGTTATGTATACAATCAATAGATCCAACCACCACCGTGACTTGTAACACATGAAAACCTCTGAAGAACTCAAGAGCCCATTTGGGACTCAACCTGATCCTGTGATTCAAGAAACAGTGTATTAAATGGGAGAGTGATGTTTACTAATGTAGCTGCACAACAGCTACATTGCGACTACCTGCAACTGCAACTGCATCTACACCAGACCAACCAGTCAGCAACCCAAGTCTGACCTATCAATCCAGGGAAGGATATTATGAACAACAATCCACCTAGTCAATTTACGATGACTCGTCATCAACCAATTCACCACGCCTAGTTAAAACATATGCTGATGGCAAGAAATAAGGTAATGGCTGAACAGAAGGTAACATAGAGAACATGGCAAGGTTAAGAAGGTTTAGATAAGACACCAAAAGTGACTCAAACAGTCAAAGACCAGTGTATATTCAGTCTAGACTTGGTACAAATCTGCTAAACAATGAAAGACCTTTGACAAAGAATGTACCACATATCTTGTGTATTTTCTTTGCCAATTATCTGGTCCCAATTGGTTGGAGTTAATTAAACGATTGGCAGAGCAAGGGTATGACAAGGCTTACCAGTATTCCCAATCCAGAGCTGGAGCCAGGCTGTTCCCTATATCATCCCTGATTTGGCAAGTTTCACACACACTACACATCCTGTATCTCCTAATTAGCAGCAAGGTGGCCAAAACACAACTGACTTGCAATAAATCATGCTGATTACACAAAAACACAAGATACCAAAATAGCAATATTCACTTACATTCTCTGACAACAGCTTACAGGAATGGTAGCTCTGGTTACACAAGAGTACATATGAAACTGTACATCTCAGCTAGTGACCAGTGGTCAGTCTGACATGAAAACAACAGTACTGACCAGACAGCAAGGCAGACAGCTAACAGGCTTGTCCAGTAGAGCAGGGGGGCTAGTCTGGCCTGACCAGAGAAAGAATGCTTTCAAGTGGCCACAGTAACGATGAAGATTGATGACGTGGGTCCGGAGGATGCACATACCAGGAAGGGGTGAAATCAATGTGTGTGTGTGTGTGTGTGTATGCGTGATATTGACATCATTACAGACATCCTTGTTACAACATAACATACATGTATGTCTTAAGCATGTTAAGTCAGGATCAACTTGGCTAATGGTTTGTCTTGGGTCAACAAGTCATTCTGACCATCCATAAATCCATGCCTACACGCATACATACAATCATACATTGTGCACTCGGGTAACTGCACACAACTATGACCTCATTTTGTTGAAACTTATCTGAAATGTACATGACCATAAATATCCTAGTGACAACAAAGCATCCTGATGAAAGTTTGCATTCCAAGAGCCAAATGATTTGATTCCCTTTGAACTTTCATGGACTCTAAGTGATTCAGCCTTAGGCAGTTACAATGAAACACATGTAAGAACAATAATGACTTTTTGTACACAAGACTGATTGGTGTTTACATAATTAGGTCACAGGATCACATGCCTGAGGCTTACAGGTAGTCCCATTAACAGTGTACCCTTTCATGTAATGGCCAAGATAAATATACCGACAATTTGCATATATATTTCTTACATTTGATTTATGTCAAGCTTTTTCAGATTGTTTTACAGGTATGTAAAAACTGTCAAATCATAGAAACATAAGCAGGTCCATCAAATCAATATGATGAGGTTTAAAAGTAAAGGTGCATAAACATCAATGTGGTTTTATTAAAATAATGGTTAAAGTGTACATAAACTGACAAATCCAAAGAATATATTCTCCACCCAATGTGAAATTCTCAGGAATATGATATCACGCCTTCAAGTTGGAACACATCTGGTCTACTCAAAGATGGGAACTATTTACATTACAACATCATCCGAGTGTGCACAATCTCTTCATAGAGTCAACCCAGGTCTACACAGCATGAGGGGTTTAGATCAAGTGTCAAAACAAACCCACAGGGCCATCGACCAACTCAGTCAAGCCTTTCAGTATCATGTATCTATCATTACAGTTCAGTAACTTTGTAGATGTGTTTTACATCAGGTTTGTGCATTTAGTTTACTTTTTCATAAATTTTAAATATGAACCTGGATAGTTTAACAATGTACACAATAGTTTTGTTTTAGTAAAGACTTGGCAACTTGTCTCATTTCATGACAAAGGAGGTTGTTTCTGCTTGAACAAAAGTACTCCAAAGAAACTGTACAATGGGACGGGGCTTGTATCCATTCAATGAAAATGCCAATTCAGCAAAGTAATAATAACAAATGGTCTGCCTCACACTATAGATACTGAAAATACAATTGTAAGTCACATCCTCAATTACAATGACTACAAACATTACATGTTTTCAAGAAAGTAATTGACTCAGCAAATATTACCACACATATTTTTCAAAGAACCGCAAATATATTTCCTTTTCCATTGTATTCTTTCCACTTGAACACAACCAATAACAGTCCTATAACTACATGTATAATATCACCAACCTACTACAAATTATGCCTCTTAAACATGTTAAAGGTCGAAATTAAGCATGAACATGATAAATGTCAACATAATAAAGATTTTGGGATTTTCTAGATTCAAATATCATAGCAGTAAATCTCAGTGGCCTCCTCTAATTTCAAACAATGTCAATACTTCAAGGTGAGGATGAATTTAAGATTTGAATGTTTTCTGCACAGAATGATACTTTCATGCATAAACATTTACAAAGTGAGTGATTTCCCTACATGCGTCTATTGCAAAAGGTGCATATGATACATGAGGAAATAGGTGCACCAAGAACAATGGAATCACAGCTACTGATATAGTTTCAGTAGCTTGAAACTATGAATACAGTATTAGAGAGGCAAAGATGCCTCTGTTTGAAAATGAAAACTACTTTCCAGACCAGCAGACAACCTGAACAAAACAAATTACAGCCTGGTAGTGTTAGTACTCCTGTTGGTGAGGGACAGTGATTCTATTTTCATTATCATATCATACATATCAGCATATTTCACCTGAATGTCTTTTAAATATTCATAGTGTATGAATAAAAGGGGGGAAGAGATGGGTTCCTTGAGGTTTTGTTAGTATCTAGACCCCTAAAACCTTTTTTTTAATATTAGGGTCATGACAAGGACCTCTTGAATTTAATACCACATTCTGAACACTGATGTACAAAAATTCAGACATTGATAATAATGTAGTTCCCCCAGAATACTGAACATTTACCATCCTATACAGTACAAGGAACATATTCATCATATGACAGATGTATCAACCTGACACAAGTATAGCTTCCACTCAAGGTGTGGCTATGATGATGAATCTATTTCCTGTGTGGGAAGACAATCATAGATTTGTAATCCTATTTTCAATTCACAGTAAACAAACAATCCAATTTGTAGATGCAAACTTGTAATGATTGTCACACTGCTAGACATCAACTTTTGACAGATCTGAAGAGTACCATTGTTTACAATGATTCTGATGTTCAAGTGTGAGTTCACTGTTGTTGTCTGGATAGGGTCATTCTAGGTCTAGGTTTAACCAGGATCAGGTAGAGGGTGCAGCTGAAACATCATGCATATCCGACTTACTAACTATCTCTTAGATGGTCTTGAATTTGCTAATATGGGGAATATGTCTGCAGTCCACTGTCTGAAGGATGTGATTTTTTCGCAAATTATCGTTTGCCTCATTTTCGTGAGACTTGTCACTGGCACTGAATTATCATACTGGCGTGGTTGTATTAGTCATAGGGTTAGCATATATTAGGTTTGTGTGTACAAAACACTGCGACAAATTCTTCATGTGCACGAAACAAAAGAATGGAAAAGGAGGGCACGAATTGCCCTAAAAAATTATGAAAACCGATCCCACGGTTTGCGAACATTGAAATAAATTTCCACATTCTCACCCTCCGAGAGCTCAAGATCGAGTTCTGCCAACTTCTCTCTGACATCTTCGGGGAGTAGGGTAATATCCACTTCTATATCAGCCATAGTTGTTTTTACTGAGCGACTAAAACAAACGTTGTGTCTTCTACATTACATCTTCGAATTATGATTGATCCCCGTCGCCATTTTGGGTACTCCACCACACCTAAGTCTCGCGATTTCGAACGAGATCTGACAAGCCGGTGTAATTCTTTTACAGCAGCCTAGTGAAATTCTGACACCGTCGCCCACCATTTAGACCAATCATTCATTTGCATAAAGTAAAAAATTACTGACATCTAAATGAAAAGGTGGATTTGATCGATTGCATATGATATTAAGTCCAAACAATGGTTAAATATATGTCGATACGTTATATTAATAACAACTGCGAATTATCGACCATATAAACATCCCGTGCTACTTATGTATATGAGGTAAACACTACATATTGTACTGACAATATACAGCAAGCATGTATACTATAGGAGATTGATTACAGGTATAGTTATGCAATAACCAGCCATAACGCCCGCGGTTCCACTGTTTCTCTGCTGATGACTCCTGATTGTATTGTGTAACTAATTAATCTGACAACAGGTACATGACAATAAAGATCACCCAAGCGCGACTGAGCATCGACGGATGTGTGATATAAACATGCTGATGAATGGATGCTGGTGATCATTAATGCTGTGTGTTTTCATCATTATTGTTCATATAATCCCTAATGATGACATCCTCCTTTTCCTCTCCTCCCCCTACTCCTTGGAATGAAGTACCATTTTATCAATCGAAGAAATAAGTACCCAAAGAAGAAGAAAAAAGTACCATTTTATACAGGTTTTCTGTTATAAATTATATACTGCGCCAGTGACTAATTAATTCGCCATTTGACGTTCAACGTATTGCATTTACACACAACCAGTGAATGGGACTTGAAGTTACTTGATATGACTTTCATCTGTTTTTATCTCATAGAAGCCAAACCTTTTTTATAGCTACCGGAAGATTTTTTGCAGGCAACCAGTGAACAATCATAATTGTTGTGGATTATTTGTTGTAATTGTATCATGTGTGTTGTTGTTATTTGTCGTCAGCTGGCTGTGATTTGAGTGAGTATGTGGATTTAGATTAACGTGGCATCGGCATATATTGTTTCCGTCATATATTAACTACAACAAATAATACAGTGCATGTTGGTGATGTTCGAAGTGGTAGTAGACTATATATAGATGACAGTGGCATAATGGATATGTCATAGATCTATGAGGTAGCGGTGAATCTATTAACACGTGACATTTCTATTTTTAGGTAATAAACACAACTCATTTGACATTCGGAATAACGAGTTATTTATCCCTCGTGTAATAATGTGGCGAAAGTCCGTCGCCAAGTATCGGGACTTGGCATTCGCGACCACTCGTGCCAGCCCGGGACAATCCGATCGAGGTGACGGAAAGATGCACAGATGGTGGTGACGATTAGGCAATGGCCACATTAATTTACAAAGGGGAGATGATCCCTTAAGTCTTCGTTCTCCTTGTATACGTGTATGTTAATTCATTGTCCAAAACATGAATGGCGGTATGTGGCGTTAATGACGGCATACTTGGACAATACTGCGTTGAGTCTCCAGCCGATACCCTTTAGGTAGAGAGCTTCTCCATCGAACTTTATTTAAGCGTTTCGTTGATTGGCATTCTAGAAGTTGGGGAGTAAATAAGAAAACATACAACTTGATGGATGGTTGGTGACGTTTAAATGTAGATTCTTACACCGTTCTCAAGCTGGAATGAGTACAGCTAGGCGGTGATAGGCTATGAACTTACATGATATGCTGTGATAAAACGTGGCTGATATATCTGAAATGCATGCTGTAATATAAGATGTAACTCTATGTACATGAGCCGGAGCCCTTAACTACAATAAAACTTATTTCTCTTCTACATACAGATTTGAACTTCATACTGTTTACCCTTTTCAAAATAATTTATCTCAAAGAACAGTTTGAGTCGATCTAGTCAGTACAATGTATAAACATATAATTCGAATGTTTAATAACCAACTGACCTCATGAGAATAAAGTTAAACCATAGTGATTAGATATTTTAGATAAACATAGCAAATGGAATAATATCAAGCTGTATGTGTCTATATGTCCATCGGGGAATTTGTGTCCAATCCGTACGCCTTCGATCGAAAAACAGCTCAAGCTCACGATGACCGTATTTCACAAGGAGCAGGGTTCCCTTTCACCGCTGTGGTGGCCAACGTGAAATGTGAAATTCTTCCCAGGTTGTGTCATTTTGCCTTGAAATAATTCGTCATCGCCAGAAACAGGGGAGGACTCGGGTACCTAAAGAGACACAACATGTTTAATCGCTGGTCGCCAGGTTTGAGGGCTGACCAGGCGCGGTCAAGAAAAAGATTAGAGGTATGAAAAGAGCAGTAAGAAGTGCCTAGATTTCTCTCGTTACCTGGGGCTGAGCAGCCAAGCGCGCGATGTTGAATATTCTTGTGAAACCAGGAAAAGAAACTCTTTGTGACAGATCTACGTCATTGTTGTTGACAGTAGTACTTATATATTACGATATGACTTCATTTAGTCCGTCCTATTCTATGAAACTTGCGGCAGTCAAGTCTTGACCAGACGACCGCCAAATATGGCAATATTGTCTCCCTGGTGAGCACGGTTTGGGACAGGGATCAAGGCACTGAAACAATTCGACAAGCTAACGGTTGTTCTTTTGAGAAAGAAAGCTTTCGATGCTCGAGACATTAAACTTTAAAGAATTGATTTCGGATGTTTTAGATCAACAATCATAATATTAGGGAAGCACTAATTTCCATTCCTGTCAACAATAGAATTATGGAATATTGTTCAGAATCAGGTATATATTTTTCAGTTCCTAGGTAGTGACATTCATAACAGTGTTATCTGAGTAAACATGACAGTGATGATGTGAAGACATTCTAAGTTGGATACAGTTATGGTTATTTAATCAAGACAATGAAAAGATAATGACATTGGGTTATAGCTAAATCGGCACCTCAGCAAAACGGCACCGTTTGGCAAAAACAGCACCTCGCTTAAAGCAAAAACGGCTACTATTGCCTGGCGGAAACGGCACCTTATTTATTTCTTTACCTTCGTACATGAAATTAAATTCACATGGTCATTTGCAAACACAAATAATTGTGAAATGTTAAAACAAGTGTACATTAGAAACTAGCCTCTGCTCCAATTTACTCGCTGACTCTGATTGGGGGCGCGACTAAACTTATTGTAAAAACATTGCATACTTTGAAGTTTTAATCACCTTTCCTCAAATTGACTCAATGTCAAGCTGAAACTGAGTCCCATGGAAATGTCAAGAAATTGGACTACAACTGCTATATATTTAGTATTTATTTTAGTAAGCAGGAAATATAAAGTTATTTTATAGATATTTCATATATATCTCCCCTTTCTGCCGGCAGCCAACATCACAAAAATGTTTCTGGATAACAGACCGTGTCCCCGCCCAAGAAAGACATATTACAGCAACCAAATAAAGCATGTAAATAAAGCATATACAGTCAAGTCTCATTAATCCGACACTCGTTAATCTGACACTCGGCTTTATCCCACACAAATGATGGGAACCGATTGATTCAGTGCTATTTAGTCCCGTTAATCCAACAGTCTCGCACTCCGACTCCGACACACCTAATTTGCAACAAATTACCGAAATCACTCATTAATGAGTCTTGTTAATCCGACACAGTGGTCAGCGTACTCCGTGGTCATCTGCCTGCGAGTACACAACCCCATGTTTTGACACGCACTGGCTGCAGAGATTATTAACAGGAAAAGCTTTTCAAACCTGTATGTACAAAGCTATACAAATGTAGTTTACAAATTGAAGCCAGATAAATGTGCATGAAGCCAGTTTAAAATACGAACAGGTATATAAAACATGGTGGACTCACCATGGTCGACTGGTATATAAACAAGAAAGCATGGATAACTTTATTAATATTCAAAGCCTGGCTACTGATCTTGGATCGGCAAATGCGATTGGAGCGATGCCACGTGGTATTGCTGTTGGACAACGCCCCATCCCATGCTACTGTCGACACAACTAATGTGAAATGTCACTTTTTGCCACCAAACACCACATCGCACATTCAGCCACTAGATGCCGGGATCATAAAGAATTTCAAGCTTTATTATAAGAAACAGCATATGAAATTACACCTCGACAATGTTGATGCTGAAGAACCACAAGTCCTAGACGTCAAGCGAGCAGGGGACTTTGAGAAATGTGCCTTCAAAATGTTAGAAACAGAAAACACTGACAGACTATTTTAAGTAGATGAAGCAAGTTGCTAAGACAGTAGCACTTGCATTTACACGAGGAAACGTGTGTCGTTGATGTGATAATTTCATTGAGTAATGTCTCTGTTGTTATGTATAAATGGGAAAATTATTATTATTTCTGCAATGTCATCAATTATAAATTAAGGAATGAATGAATAAACAACATAACAATATAAATATTTCATTTTTAATGATTTTATTACAAGGTACACACGGTTATTATCTATCGTTAAGACAGCCGATTTTCGATCACAAATCACTTAATTTCGTTAATCCGACATACTTGTTAATCTGACACAATCATGTGCAACCAACGATGTCGGATTAACGAGACTTGACTGTATACTACATAAATTGTTATTAAAAATAGAGGTGGTGTTTTCGCTCGAGAAATCAGTGACGTTTTCCTGAGTTGCCATTTTAGCCTGCACCCATGACCTTTTACTGATTAGTGATGAAGGTAAAGCTGGGATGGATATACCTGGGTCGAGTGGGTCCTGAGTAGTACCCTAGTGCCCACAGGACTACCTAGAGCATTGGTTAGTCCTGTGATATATTGTATATTCTATCATGACAGTGAAGAATGCTTGATTTTGATTGGCTAAAAAGAGGTTTCCTTTTTTTTACAGAAACCTCTTTCAAATATATTATGCCTTTTCACACTAAAAACAAGCGTTTGAATACATTGATAGCCTACATATCGTTCATAAAAGATGGCCACCGATCACCAATAAGAACTGTATACTGTATTGATATATCCTTTATTTGGAAACACAAACCAGATCTCTCATAGACGCGGGGTCAACGTCTTTTGCAAAATTAATAGGCGTCCGAGCGTCTAACAGAGGAAATATGATATGTTTCATATCAGATGTTTTTGGTGACAATATGACGTTCTAGGCTGTAATGCTAATCATCCTTCGATGATGCGATTACAACAAAGCTTTTGCATACAAATGATCACTGTCATGAAACTGTAAGGGACATGCTCAGTGGTTAACGGGTAATTTCCTCTTTGATAGAAACTAATGAAAAAAAAATATAACATAAAAAAGTATTCATGGTAACAATTTGTTTATGATCCTTTTTATGATCGATATTCATTGCCATCTCTGTCAGCCACCAATGTTAAGATCTGGCAGGAGGGGATTTGAAAGTCTGCCAGAAAACACTCCTCCCTGCAAAAGGTCACGAAAACTCACAAAGAAATGTTCCAACATCGCTGAAAAGATACCTCTTATTTTAATTTGGAACCAAGTGCTTTACACAAAGCAAGATGATAACCCTGATGTTGATATTAATGACTTTAACCTAGGCATGAGCCTGGTACAACGTGATTGCCAATGGAACTGGAGTATGACTATACATCCATTTATTTACGCTGCAGACGAGCCAGCGTTTTATCTTCAGGGATTGGATTCATGTGAAAGAAATCTGACAGTTGTGGCCCTGACACAGTGGTTCATGGATGTTTTACTTAATTGTATGTGCCCTGAAATTAATGTCATCAAGTTTGATGTAAAGCTGTTGTGATCAAGTCATATTCCTGTGCTGTGACTTTAGTGATGTTGGGTCATTTCTTTGTGAGTTTCCGTGACATTTTGCATAATGTTATTTGACTACATCGAATTTCAAAACACAAAAGGTTTATCTCCTAAATGACAACAAGAAAAAGAACATTTCATCCATGGTTACGTTAACATTGCTAATAAGTTGCATACAGTCTTTTCTTTCTGACTATACACACATTCCTCCTGACTTTTATATGTCGAAATAAAAACATTGGTTGTCAACTTCAGTTTGGGCATGATAAGAGCATGTTTCTGATTACCTTTTGCCTGGGCTCTGCTAAGACAATTCCCAATCAAATCAGACATTTTGTACCCAAGACAATTTGTTCCTTTTGGGTTGGGTAAAAGGGGGTTGAGTACCGTGATATTAAATTTGTCTCTTCTCAGCACCGATTGACCAGTGACTGAGCGGGACAAAACAGTCCAAGATTGCGACGGTCACTCTACAGCGATGCATATTTTCTGTCTGGTCGATATTGTTGATACTTTCTTTCTACCACCAAGTTTCTGGTGCCGCAAGCCAATTTAGCAAATTGTTGTTTAGATATTTTGTTCATATTTCAAAGCATACTTTATTCATGTGTAGTGGAATCAAAACAGTTGATAATCAGATCTAATTTGATAGAAAATTTGACGCTTCACTATTTAATGCTGTAGAGCCTAATTAACCTATATAGTCAAAGCTTCAGGGGATGGTCTAGTGAGATTGATTTGAGACACATAGATTATTGCTGATATATAGTCTTAAGTTTTCTGAATGATACAGTGTACAGGTGAATTTCTGTAAACAAATTATGTTCTTAATGTCAAATCATAACAACCACTATGAATTTTTAAATATTTTATACTTGAAGTAGAAGAAAAGAAGTTAAAGTTAATTTAGTACAAAACTTTCTTGTGGCCCTGGTGTGTATATCCGACAGAGGGGACATGACTGTTGGATCTGTTGTAGAAGATTTTGAAATACTGACACTAATTACTTTTGTCATTGATTCTGTTGATTTCATCCTTTGCAGGAGGAAGGCCTACATGAGCAGCTGGAGGAGAGATTTCGGAAGACACTTTACTATGGAGAACTACCAGATGATGACGACTGCCCCTCTCTGCCTCTGACAAGTAAGAGAGTTACAATGACTACTCAAATCACTTCTTTGAGATGCTGTAGCTGCCCAATAATGAAATATGTTTAATTCCGCTAAGAGCAGAATTCCAGCTAGGTGACAGCGGCCTGTAAATAATCAAGCCTGGACCAGACAATCTCGTGATTGATATTAGCTATGATCCACTCTGTCAGGGTGTGATGTCACAGAATCAACCAATGATTGTCACCACCTGATCCACCTGGTTGCCTAGCATGCTGCTGGAGACCAATTCTAACCCGATAATGATGACTGCTTATAACAAGTTAATTAGTTACAATAAATACTGAAACTGCTTCTGTGGAGTCCTGCAGGTGACTACATTCTAGTGATGCTTTGCTCTCATGCCTGTCCTTGTGGTACACATTCTCCACAAATTTCTTTCTTCGACTGTTATTGTTGAATATGTAAATTAGACTGACAAATGTTTAGAAGTGGACAGGATTTATGATGTAGGGTCGGTTCCCGTTGGCATCAGGGTTCCCATCATCCTATTCTGAGCCATAACATAAAAAAACATTCTATTTTTTTTTTAAAAGAAACTTGGGATATGCATTGCTCATCCGCTTAACTGGTGTCTTTTTCTATTTAATTTTTGTTCTAAATGTTTGCCATCTTGGAAAAAATTCTTTTTTATCTTACGTTTCCATTGAAACTCTCAAACTAACAAATATATTTTCTTGAATCTATACATGTGTCATGAACCAAATGCTCTACTATTGTCTTTTCAGTTTTTAATTTTTTTAATTTTTTGTGTTTCAATGGAAACAATTTGGAAATTCTTAAAGAGTCTTTCTACTAAGCATAAAGCTCCTAAACTGGGTTTCACCTACCTGCACAATACAATCTGTCATCCAAACTGCTGTTACAAGTTCAGTAGTCTAATCTGGCATAAAGAGTCAGCATGGCATCAACTGTAATGCTGCTTCATTAATGCATTAATCAGAATGTTGTACTTGTATTTCTTTGCTATTAATCTTTTTCGTATATATGGAAACATATTTATAGTAACAACTTGAAGAAATGTATAAAAAAGGAGGGGGAGTCATCTGTTATCAGTAAAAACACACTCAGTTCGTAACAGTACATACAGTATCAAGATTTTCAGAACTCATGTCCAACGATGACTTCAAATAAAACCTTTGCATCAATACGATACTTCTTTGCATGAGAAACCACACCATTACATTGTTGATATTTATACAATGTGTCGTGTCTCACTTTCTGAGTGACAACTACACAAGGAGGAATACTTGCATTCATGTGGGCTTTTCTTTTGTTAATTTCTGAATCGGGGTGGTAAAAAATTAGGCTGAATCGTTTCACAAAGCTGACATCTGATTGGCTCAAGAATTTCAATTAGATTGGGTGTTCAAAGTACTCTCAGGGTTCATGGGACCCAACCTACGGAATGTTGTCAGATCTTTACAAGGAGAGGATTACTCTGCCACAAAATCTTCCTAGCTGATACTCTGAGATTGTTAGGACTGTAATAGAAAAGTAATTTTTCCCTTGCCTAAACTGTGTCACATGGATTTTGACAAGTTTCCTCCCTGGGGAGTAAAATAATGTTGATCTTGTTTATTTGAAAATAAACTCCTAATTAGAAACATTTTTCTTTCACAGCGCTTTTTTCATAGAATAACTTTAAATTTTGGGAACCAGATGTTATTGTACAAATGAATTAGAATTGTGTGGTCTCTACTTTCAGACTTGGCTGTGGAGTTCTTCCAGGATGCGACCCCCCGTGGACTGGGCCAAGCAAACATGGCGACAGCTTCGACCCTGACAAGGTGAGTGGATTGCTGTAGATCAGTGTCATAACGTATTATTGAATTGGTTTATAGTACTGATGTTCAGATTATATATTACAATTCATGGTTAATTGTGCAGCGGACACCCAATTTCTGACTTTGTGCTTGGGTTCTGTCATATATTGGATGCCTTGTCCACATTGTCCTTGACGTTAGATATTATTGCTAAGGCTACTGGCACACTGACAAGATGAGGATGTCTTTTTGTCGGATGAAACCACGCCCTGCTACATACTCTGTCAATAGAAGATGCGCCCCAGGCCACACAGTATGGCAGTGAGGCCATTTTGCTAATTTGTTATGAAAGTGCTCAACCACATTGAACGCCAGGGTATGGTCATAAAATGCCAGTATTTTAACAACAACCCTTTTGACTTTCCAACATTGAAGACTAAAAATGGAGCCCTTTTCACTTGGGTCTTACTTTTAGCCTTAAAAACTGTAATGAATGCCTTCACTATACCTTAAATTTAAATTTAAGTGGCTTAAATTTTGGATGAACTATTAATCGTAATAAAAGCACTCATTGTACAATACAGCCAGTAAGACATTTCATCTAAGAAAGACTACTGTGTCCATCACGTGACAAGAAGCATTTGTCAGCAAAGCACGATCGGCAGTTACATCTTAGCGATCCTTGGAGCCTCCTGCTCTATCCACATCCCCACTGTTTCTGAACTCGCAGATATACTTCGGGGTTACCGCAAGTTTTTGTCCTGGAGTGGTGCTCAACAATCTTGTCTTCCCCTACAACCACTCACTACTGCTGGACTTATATCTCTTACTCACAGGACCAATTCTGCTGTCACTGGCTGCAGCTGTACCAGGCTACTGCTGCACGGATCAGTGAACTCCATACTCTCGACATCACTCAGATCATGTTTTGACCTGGGCGGCATGCAGAGGTACGCCTTGGCTTGATGTGGGATTTCATTGCCAAAGAAACAGTTGCCTGGAGAGTCATATCTCCCTTTGCCTAGTATGTGCGCAACAGCGAAAACTTCTCTTCATCCAGACCATCAAGGACAGCTGCAGGAATATATGTTAAGAATTCCTTCTCTTTTTAACTGAACTTCTACTAGTGCTTCCGACCTGCATGAAATGAGGGCGTTGTTGTCAATGATGACATTCCACCCAAACAGCTCCGTCAAGGAGATCATTGGGGAAGGGTTTTGGTAATGCCACAGAACCTTCGTCAACTTCAACTTCAGTTTTCTCTCACATGAAGATATGGACAGTCCACCAACTAGGTCCTTTCATTTTCGCCCACCAACTAGTCGCACCTCCACGTTGCCATTGACGAAGTGGGAATGGAGCGACTGTCATCAAGGAGGCCCATACCAGTACACATCCATGTTTAGTCCTTCTTTATACAAAATGATTGCCTTAACTCAGTACCAAGGGTACTTTGTATTGTGAGGCCGACCACGGGTCCTGATGTTTCAAATACCTCCAGTTGCCACATATTTATTATGGTGGTGACTTATTACGGCATGAATGAAGTTGGACACACCCATGGGTTGAAGACAAAGTGGCAGTGTAGTCTAATGTGTGCTGTGCTCTGACCTGACCACAATCGCAATAGGGGGGTTATGCAGTTGATCCAACCCACCGTCCTACTGTGGGATAATTGCATACTGTTATGGAGAGATGAGTTAAAACAATGAAGGAAATCAGAGTATCCCCCTTATATATGTACTTATCCTGACACAACAGGCCATGACTGCCTACCTGTCCATCCCTTGACAACCTGTCACATGTGTACAGGTGAAGATGCCGAGAAACACAGGGGCATGCTGGGAGGGAGGTGGTTGGAGGGTGTGTTCAGGTAATATTCTACATTGTTCTACACTGTTTATGATCAAAGCAAGAAGGAATTTTTCATACTCTTGTGTCAGGATAAGTATATTTTTAAGGGAATATTTTGATGCCCTATATATGGTTTCAGTGACACCTGTGTAACATCTACAGTTTTCCAATGTTTGGTTTTAGTGACCCCTGTATAATGTCTACAATGTTCCAATGTTTGGTTTCAGTGACCCCTGTATAATGTCTACAATGTTCCAATGTTTGGTTTCAGTGACACCTGTATAATGTCTACAATGTTCCAATGTTTTGTTTCAGTGACCCCTGTATAATGTCTACAATGTTCCAATGTTTGGTTTCAGTGACACCTGTATAATGTCTACAATGTTCCAATGTTTTTGTTTCAGTGACCCCTGTATAATGTCTACAATGTTCCCATGTTTGGTTTCAGTGACCCCTGTATAATGTCTACAACGTTCCAATGTTTGGTTTCAGTGACCCCTGTATAATGTCTACAACGTTCCAATGTTTGGTTTCAGTGACCCCTGTATAATGTCTACAATGTTCCCATGTTTGGTTTCATTGACACCTGTATAATGTCTACAATGTTCCAATGTTTGGTTTCAGTGACCCCTGTATAATGTCTACAATGTTCCAATATTTGGTTTCAGTGACCCCTGTATAATGTCTACAATGTTCCAATGTTTGGTTTCAGTGACCCCTGTATAATGTCTACAATGTTCCAATGTTTGGTTTCAGTGACACCTGTATAATGTCTACAATGTTCCCATGTTTGTTTCAGTGACCCCTGTATAATGTCTACAACGTTCCAATGTTTGGTTTCAGTGACCCCTGTATAATGTCTACAATGTTCCCATGTTTGGTTTCAGTGACACCTGTATAATGTCTACAATGTTCCAATGTTTGGTTTCAGTGACCCCTGTATAATGTCTACAATGTTCCCATGTTTGGTTTCAGTGACACCTGTATAATGTCTACCATGTTCCAATGTTTGGTTTCAGTGACCCCTGTATAATGTCTACAATGTTCCAATGTTTGGTTTCAGTGACACCTGTATAATGTCTACAATGTTCCAATGTTTGGTTTCAGTGACCCCTGTATAATGTCTACAATGTTCCAATGTTTGGTTTCAGTGACCCCTGTATAATGTCTACAATGTTCCAATGTTTGGTTTCAGTGACACCTGTATAATGTCTACAATGTTCCCATGTTTGGTTTCAGTGACCCCTGTATAATGTCTACAACGTTCCAATGTTTGGTTTCAGTGACCCCTGTATAATGTCTACAATGTTCCCATGTTTGGTTTCAGTGACACCTGTATAATGTCTACAATGTTCCAATGTTTGGTTTCAGTGACCCCTGTATAATGTCTACAATGTTCCCATGTTTGGTTTCAGTGACACCTGTATAATGTCTACCATGTTCCAATGTTTGGTTTCAGTGACCCCTGTATAATGTCTACAATGTTCCCATGTTTGGTTTCAGTGACCCCTGTATAATGTCTACCATGTTCCAATGTTTGGTTTCAGTGACACCTGTATAATGTCTACAATGTTCCAATGTTTGGTTTCAGTGACACCTGTATAATGTCTACAACGTTCCAATGTTTGGTTTCAGTGACACCTGTATAATGTCTACAATGTTCCAATGTTTGGTTTCAGTGACACCTGTATAATGTCTACAATGTTCCAATGTTTGGTTTCAGTGACACCTGTATAATGTCTACAATGTTCCCATGTTTGGTTTCAGTGACCCCTGTATAATGTCTACAATGTTCCAATGTTTTTGTTTCAGTGACCCCTGTATAATGTCTACAATGTTCCAATGTTTGGTTTCAGTGACACCTGTATAATGTCTACAATGTTCCAATGTTTGGTTTCAGTGACACCTGTGTGTCACCAGGCTCCCTGGTCACTAGTATGATCTATGCCACACGTTTGCGCCAAAGAAATCCTGACTATCTTCAGAAAATGTCTTCCTCTGATCTCTTCTTCATTTCGGTGGTAAGTCCTACTTTATCACAATTGTAACTAGATGTCATGAAAGTCTATTATATGTGGGGACACAAGTGGCCCAGTCGTCTAAGGCGCCACGATTCGCTGTGCAGAGTTGCGTCCCTTGGCCACGCCAGAAACCTATGATTGTTGGTTCGAATCCCGATTATGTTTCTAGGTTTGTCAGCACCATACCCGTGCTCGTGGGTTTCACTGAAGTGGTAAACGTCTGAGACCTGCATCACTTCGGGCTTTCCTCCCACATTAAGCTGACACGCCTTGATATAACTGGAATACAGTTAAAAGAGGCGTTAAACCCAACTCACTCACTCACTATTATATGTGATTTCAAATAATACTTTATATTTACTCGCAACTAACTTGTGACTTGATTTTAATCTGTTATTAATCAATTACTCTCAACTGATGCAAGGATTGACTGTTATGTGTAGATAATTGTTACGATTGTTTGTTGCGAAAAATGCTATTTGATCTGAATTTGTTTTGGTATTCAAAATGTTCAGTCTTTCATTTGATATGTATGCACATACAAGTAAGTAATCCGAAACACAGTCACCTCCAATATGTAACCAATGAAAGATTTTTTTATTGAGATTCTTAAATGATCCAATTGGTTGGCCTAGTGGTTAATGCATTTGCTCATCATGCTGAAGGCCCAGGTTCAATTCATTACGTAGGTAAAATATGTAAGCCTAATTTTGGTGTCCCACACAATATTGCTGAAATTTTGCTAAAAGTTGCATAAAAACATACTGAATCACTAGATCAGTAATATTTTGACAGCGGCTGTCATTGATTTGAACCCATTTTATCGTCTGAAATATTTCCATAGGGCCACAACAGCCTATTTACTTCATTCTGAAGGGCGAGATTCTTAAATTATGATATTCTCTTTTAACAACTTCTGGAAAATATTGTTAAAAATTCACAACTGATTATTAAGGGTCTGTGGTATGACTGATATATCGGTAATTTGAGGATCACTTTTTATCCCAATATCAAATTTTAATATCAGTATAGTTCAAATAGCAATTTCTATCACGTGTATAATGTTATACACTTGCCAAATTCCTGGAGCGTGCATCTGTGACTGTTTGTTGAATGAGTAAACATTATGTTGTACCAGCATCTTCTTTTGTTCCTTTATGAACTTCAATTCATCCACTGGTGTTTCAAATTGCATGTGAATTCAAGAATTATATAATGTTTCGTGATGCATATTTCAATATGGCCTTGTGTATCGTAAAATTTTGTAGTACACTTTGAGCCACCAATACCCATCCCTACAGTGATTCTGATTGATGCCTAGTTGGTTGGGGTAGCCTAGTGGTGTAAGCCTTGGCTCATCATGTTGAGGACTGGTTTGATTCCCTGTGTGTAGACAATGTATGAAGCTTGTTCTTGATATCCTGACATTGCTAGTGTATTGCTGAAGGATGTGTAAAACCACACACACTTTCCCTCATCCTAATACGGTGTTTGAAATCAATATAAGACCTCTAGTCTGAGACTAGTGATATTCGTCTGCTCATCCAAAGCCCAAGTGTAGTAAAATTCTGTTCGGTTTAGTAAGATCAGCTTATTAATGCCATATGATAACAGTAAAATTTGCTGAAAAAGATGCTGAGAGCCAAGTTCAGGCTAGTGGACTCAAAGGGTTTTGGCACAGACTAGTCACATTCCTTTGTGGACCACCACTTTTACTATTAGGTAGACACGGCAACACATCTTCCCAAGGCAAGGGAGTTTACTGACTGTAAAAGTCCAATTTCCATCTTTGCCAAATTAGGCTGGAATTTCTCGGCTTGATTGTAGCGCCCGCCACCAGTGGCTGTTACGGGTTATGTCTCTTTTATGTCCCTCCTATTGACCAATCAGATTCCACCCCTCATTTCACTTGCATTTACTTCAAACAAGATGGCGGGTTCAAGTCAAGACGATCAGGTTGATAGTCAAGATCAATATTGTAATAAAATGGGTCTTACTTCGTAAAGGGCATCAAATCATGTCAGCACCTTGATAAGAAACATGACAGGATTTGTAAAATATCTGTTGATGTTGAGTTGGCGGTACAGATGCTTTACAAATCCGACAATTGACTGAAATCTGCACGGCAGTTGCCGATCGTGATGTTGATTTCATTTTGCGATTTTGATTGGACTATGCACAGACTAGTTAGTCCAGCCACAATATAACTCTGTTACTATTCTAGCCTTGTTCGGAAACAGTGGAAACTGGGTGTTGTTAGTCAGTTAACTCCCTTGCCTCGGGAAGATAATGGCAACTCAGTAGCAGATCATTTTGTGGACCAGTGTAAAATAGACTTAGTGTTTCCATTCCATGTGGTTAATGGATCTCTTTATCCTTGTAATACACTAACATTTTAAAAGTATTGGTGTCCCTTGATTCAAATACACCAAAATAAATCCCCAGGACCCCTGTAATTTCTTACACTGATGTTACTCCATATTTGTCCAGAATATCACCACTGATAAACATGTTGAAGAGTAGGCTGGTTGTCACCATGTACTTCCTGTTGCAGATGATGGCCTCTAAGTACATGTATGATGAAGGCGTGGATGAAGAGGTCTTCAACGATGAGTGGGCAGAAGCGGCTAACATGGAACTTGATGAAGTCAATCAAATGGAGCGAGACTTCCTCTCGGCAATGGTAAGAAAAAACTATAAGGTTTTTTGTTGGTTTGGTATGAGGCGAAATAATAGGACATTATTTATAAAGGATGTGTTGAGTAAACAAACTGACAATCTCAGTGCCTTGTGTTTTGTGGAAGAGTGAAATATCTCAATACAAGAACAACAGTATGAACAGGGTGGCAGTGTTCATTCAGACTGACAAAAAGGAGTGGACCTTTGGGTCAACTAGTGACAAAAACATGGGGGGACATTTTCAAAAGGAAAGGTGGGGGGTGGGGGCATTTTGAAATGACTTGGTGATCCTTACTCTCAGCATGGCGTGTTAAGTATTACGATTTATCCAATGACATCAGAGTTGTCAGTGGCTTGCTTTTTCTCATGAAATATGGCTTGCTGATCTCCAATTTTATGAATGGGAGAGACTGTACAAAACACAGGATTTTCTAAATTTTTCCATACTTTAGTTGGGTATATTAACTCAATTGTGTTTTCAAACCACCACTAAGTTGTTGATTTTTCAACATTCATAGGATAGCAATCTTTGCCCATGTTGGCGTAAGCCAATTGTATGATCAGTTATACATGCCAAGAGCCAGTCAGATGGCCTGTGTTACATGGAGATACTGCAACAATGCTCCTTCAAGCTTTTTTTTATTACCTGTACTCTAATAAGAGAGTGTTATGAAGGTTTCACGATATGTTTCAAACTGCTCACTTTGTATAAGCATCAACAAGTGAGGCCTGTTAATGTCATAAGATATTCCATTCTGATATATGTATGTGGTGTTCTTTTGTATTGAAAACTATGTGCCCAACTGCCACATGTTGTCCATGATTCTTTTGTCATTATTGAAAAATATGAGGCAATGCCATGCTGCTGATGTCAAGGATGAGGTAGCAGACTCTACCTACATTCTAGGTATATTGCTCAGATGTTGTAACATTATCAATTTGTGATGTCAGGAACAATGGATGATGTAAGATGTTGTTGAGCAATGTGACATCTTATAGCTTCAACTGAGCACATCAGCATTGAGAGTAGCCCAAACTGTGCAGGTATTGGACAATTCTTATGCTCATTCTCTCCACCCATGACATTCGGCACCAACCCTTAAATTTGTGATCAATATTCGTCATTATCAATCGATCAATATTCGATATATCCTTAACAGTGTTAGGCTATGTGAAGTTCATGGTCATGTTTTACAAGTGCATTTCCATTTGGGATACTGTAGTACTGTGTGCGTACCTTTGTCTTCATGACTCAATAACTCATGGCTTGCTTGACTTTCACTTATCAGGCTTAATGTAGAGATATGTACACCTATTTTCAAGCAGGGATAATTCTAGGATGGGGCTTTGTGCTTTTAGACCCTAAATTCGAAAAAAGGCCCATATTTTCAAATACAATGGGGCATTTTAACATTGCGCAGTATGGGCAAGTGTGGGTGTACCCCTGGAATATTTGAAATTGTCACATGTCGGAAAATTCCTACAGTGAACCCTACCCACGTGTTTTGGGTTTATAATCCAATCAATGTTCACTCATTGTCTGTGTCACAGTTTTACCGGAGCATACATTTATGGAAACCTGTTTCTGTATAAACAGACATAGCTAATTGCTTTCTATGTGCATGGGGGAATCTGGTATACCTGCCAGGGTGTGCAAAGTTATCTAAACTATATATGTTTATCAAAACGTGCAACGTTTCTGATGCTTGAGCAGTAGAAAAGTATGAATAAATTGAATTCCATCTCTCTGACCTACAAGTGATCGCAAGCTCATAACAGCGATACCCATGATCCCCGCACGGTGGCCTAGCTTTGGTTACTGGTGGCCTATAGCCAGTGTTTTTAAACTGTATGAATGATATTGTTATGTATGTTTGGTAAAATGCATTAATGACTCACTTGTGAAAATATCCACTTGGTCTCGTCGCTATATGGCTGAAATAATGCCGATGCGACACTAAATTTTAACTCACTCAGTCACTCACTCATTACAGCGATAAACTGAAGCCTACTGTTTAAGGTGAAGCCAAGGTGACATGCGCCTGACATAGTTTGTTAGCTACCTGTTCACTGATTAATCAATTGTACTAATAGTGTCTTTTCTTCTGTAATTATTTGTTTCACTAGTTATCTATGTGAGTTATTTCATACCCAAGAGAACCCTTTTAGCACAAGACATATTGTATGTCATGTGCACTCAATCCACAGATGCAACTTCGCAGGAGTTTCTAGCCCGTGTCAGTAATTGTAAAGGTGTCCTAAGCAATCTGTGTCCCTTTCCTTCAGATCCGGAGCTTCAGTGTGAACAGATGATCAATAAGAGCCATGATTACTGATCAGTAAACAATTATCAATGGCAACAGTTGCTTTCAGAATAAAGTGGTTTATAATGTGATCCATATTGACTCCTATTAGGCCATCACCTTGTTTTCCTTTCTTAACAACTTCATCTTTTCTTGTAGGACTGGCAACTGTTCGTCTCACAGTCCGAATTCCTCAAATCTGTTCAGGACATTGAAAGAAGGTAAATTTCAACATCATCCAACTGTATTGTATATATCGTCAAGCAATTATTATATTCATCTCTAGGCAGTGTGCATATATGGAAGAAGGCCCAGTATGATACCCAGTTTGTGTTGTACCAGTAATAGTAAACAACATGAAGCTATTGTTTATGCAGTAACCATTTGGTGCTTATTAATGTACTCATGTGTGTGCTGGACAAACACATGGATAATGGCTTCCACATGGACTTTCTTATTTCCCATTTTGAATATGGATGAAGAATTAACATTAAAACTCCAAAGGACACATGTTATGAGAGCCTTCTGACACATTTGAAAATGATATATTTCGATGCCTGCATTCCTCAGCAAATGTATGGATATTTGAGGCAGGGTTACTGGTGAAGGGGAGGTAACTTCTCTAACTTGCCTCCCTTTATGTGCACTGCTGTTGATGTTGTTTCATCTTGAGCTGTATGCTGGATTGTGTGTTTTCAGAATTGCATGGACTCAAGGCTGTGATCGAGGATGGCTCTCTTATACTGATTTAGATGTTCTATTCCATGACAAACTTACCAGACATCTCTGGGAATACATAGCAAAAGAATGGCTTCTGGTAAGATATGCTTTGTTAGAAACCAAATCAGGAAAGTCTCAATTCAGTCAGCTTTAACAATATATATTTCATGCTAAAGCATCTGAGTATGAGATAAGTGAAAATCTGGCAACTGGAAAATCTTGATTTCTCTTAAAAAATTCTGATGCATTGTATAATTTCTTTTGAGTACAAATAAAATAGTACATTTGCATGCTAACTTTGGGTTTGGTTCCACATAATTTGAGTTATTTTTAAAATCAAATTTTTCATGTTTTGATGGAACCCATCCTGACCACCACCAGTGCTGTTTGTGATCAGGAGTTTGCGTGTCAGGAAAGGCTGAAAGGTTTTGAAGCCTGGGAATGTGTTTTAGAACAATTGTGAATTTAGGTTGGAGTGGTTGTGAAATTGAAAAAAGAAACAATTTTAATTTGGCCCACCTACCTATTATATTTCTTTAAGTAATGAAAAACAAGACTTTTATGAGGCCTAACAGTCATTGCAAAGTATGCTTTTCTTCACTGATCCCTTGGGTAAAATATTAAATGTCCAAGAATTCTCTCTAAGTTGTGTTACAATAAGTTACAAGGCAACAAATCAGATTTTATAATATTTATTCTAATATTCTCTGCAGATTTACATCCCTTAGCCATGCCATGATCTATTGATAGCTTTATATCTCAGAATCACTCCCATTTTGAAGTATCTTTTGTCAACAAGATACCAGTGCTTGTTGGTATCACCAGTGGGGCAAATGTTTCAGCTGCATGACCCCAGACTCTCCTCCCACAGTGAGCTGCCATGATATCGACGACTTATTTGAAAGTAGTGTTAACTGTTACTCACTCATCTCACTGTTTCTAAACTTGCAGGTGATCACTGTGAGCTCTGCTGCTTATGTGGCAAGCTTCCTGACCATGGTGGGATCCACTGCACTGGCCATACAACTCTCAACCACAATGGCCGGCTGTGCATTACACAGACCACCTATCATTGACCACCCTCACACTGATCGACCAAACATGTCACTGCCGGTCATCCCTGCTGGAAATGTGTTTGGTGAAGAACTGGACTCTGCTGAACCCGACCTTGAAGTATCCCATGTCCTGCCTACTCTAGGTGAAGGTCTTGATGCCAGTTTTGAACTGAGGTCCAATTACTCACAGCCTCCGAGAAATGAATCAAGCGAAGGCAGAGAGACAGGTGCTCATAATCTGCTGGAAAAGGTTCTACCTCAACTCTGGGCTGTGGTTGCCTTCAAAGACAAATTTGTTCAGTTGATGTGTGCATTCAGTGCTGGACTCAAGCAGAGGGGGGCAGAGAGTTTGCGGACGATCCCCAGAAAATGTGTGTCAAGCAGAGGAAACAAGCAGCATCTGAATTCTGACAACATTGCCAGCCCAACAGTCAACTTTGATGAAATGGAACGTCTCCGAATGCCGCCAAAGCTGAACCACCAATGCCATGCATGTCCTCATTGCCATGGAAACGACCAATCCCAAAACAAGAAATTCTGCCCTTTGGCTCATTTGACCAATGAAGATGATGCTAGTGCTATGGACTTGACCCGTCTGAAATCCGACCTTGATATTGAACCTTGGTGTTGCTATGGCAACCGTCCTCCAGATAGTCCAGATCTGAACTTAGAATTATTACAGTATCCCGACATCACTCGGGGATTTTCAACCGGTGTCCCTATTGCTGCCTAGTGCTAGTAAACATATTGGTCCCACATACTGGGTAAACAATGCTCTGTTAAGTAATCCTTATGTTTGATGTGTTGTTTGAGTCTAATGCAGTTTATGTTGGTACATTTGTTACACCAAATACTTTTGTGTTTTGTTTAGATTGTTAATTTGTTCAAAGCAGACAGTTCATTTCAAACTACTCAAGAAGAGTAGACTGTTTGGATGGCTTTTTAGTAGACTAAACAACAGCTTATGTCTTTTCTTTTCAGGGCAACTGATTTGTCTACTGAGTCTGCCTCATAATAATTTCTATATTTTCAAATGAGTACCTATAGCAGCATCTTGGAACACTCTGTGAAGCTGAAGATTCTGTAGATTTGTCATGAAAAAGGTGACCAAATTTATACTGTTACATTTGTAATTCACATTACACAGTTTTATTTTTTAAATTGCCAACTTTGTATCACCTTTTGTGTGAAACGAGTAAACATAAAATCAAATATCAGAATAAATCAGTACCTTGATTTCAAACATTATGTTTTTCAATGTTGTTTTTAAGATTGAATCTCTCTGTGATAATGGTCATCAAGTATAGTAGTAAAATATTTGCTGAAATATTGCTAAAAGCGGTGTAAAACCATACAAACTCACTACTAGAAGACACACAGGTTTGTTTGAGTTGAGCGAGTAAAGTTTTGCAATGTTCAAGAGTCATTGTTAATGCCTCAGGTAAGAAATCAAATACCCCAGATAACCTTTAGCAGCCATATGCCAACCACAGGTATATGCAGGTTACCCCTTGTGGGAGTTGTGTACTTGTGTACATGCTGCCATGCTGTGTGGGGAGGTTTGTAGGACAAAGTAATCATGGCAGTACCATGCAAAAACAGACAGCATTTAGTTTACATTGACAGTAGCTTTGAATGGCAACCTCGACAGATGAAAGTGTGATCCAGATTCATAAGGTTGTCTTTGGTGTCACATTCTCTTCTGAATGAGTTATCTAGTGGTTAAAGCGTTCACCCGTCACGCCAAAGACCCGGCTTTGATTCCCCACGTTGGTACAATACACTCTTCCAAAAAAGAAACGCACAGGTAGAATTTTAGTAAATTTATTGTACCCTAATAAAGTCGATATATTTGATTTAATATCAGATACAAACATGAAATTTTGGAGCTCGATAGTCACATGTTGTCTTGTACAACAAATGCATTGAAAACTGTTCTTTGTCATGTCACGTAAGGCCAAAAGGTTGCGCTGAACTCAGTATCTTGTGTGACCGGCCCGGGCAGCAATCACAGCTCTACATCTCCTTGGCACTGACTGGATAAGTGTACGAATTCTGTCCTGCGCCATTCTGCGCCATTCTGCTTGTAACGCGTTAGCCAGTTGTGGGAGTGTCAGCGGCGTGTTCTGACATTGGCGTTCACGTGGATCGAGTTCATCCCAGAGGTGTTTGATTGAGTTGAGATCTAGAGATCTCGACGCCCAGGACAAAATGCTGATGTTGGTATTATGAAGGTAGACTACCGTGACATGAGCTATGTGCGCTGGAGCGTTATCCTGTTGAAACAGCTCCCTCTGGCGGTCAATGATTAGAAGAAGGTGAGGTTGAAGAATTTGATTCATGCAGCGATTTGCTGTCAAATTTCCCTGAACCACAACGAAGTCAGATCTCGAGGTGTAGGATATGCCCCCCCCCCCCCCCCCCCCGACACACACACACACACAGACACACACACACACATCATGACACTACCGCCACCGAAATTGTCAAATTCATGTACACAATGTGGGGCACCACGCTCATTTCGACAATGATATACACATTGTGTTCAATCCCGCTGGTGAAGAAGAAATCGTGATTCATCGCTGAAAGCACACCCGTCTCCAGTTTCTCAAATTCCAGTGCTGTAAGCTATGGCACCAACGCAAGCGTCGCTGTGATGGATCTGTTGCAGGGACGATAATTTGTCTTCTGGGTCGGATTCCAGCCTCGCGAAGATGGTTCCTGACGGTCTGGTCCGATATCCTCCTCAAACCAGGGATGCGTCCTGCAGTCTCCGTAGCTGTGACATTGCAGTGACGTAGGTGGAACAGTCGAATGTAGCGATCCTGTACAGCGGTGGTCGTTCGGTTCTCGGAAGGTCTGCAGTGGAATTGAACTATGCGTTTCCGTCACAAAGCCGGCAAATGGTGATGTGGTGGACGTTGAAGTTGCCTGCAAGAGAAGACTGCGATTCCCCTCTTTGGATACGTCATAAGGCGATGTTCCGATCGGCAGCGCCGAGTCTCGGCATTTTCGAACTAGAAAAATGTTGACAATTGAATGACAAATTATTGGCTTATGCTTGCCTTTTTATAGCCACTTCCACGAGTTACGAATGCCATAACGTGCACTTTGCTTTACTGTTTTCCTCCATGCCATTTTTGAACAAGTGTGAATACAATACTGTTTAAGGCATTGTAAATCGACAATGGCTGCGTTTTGACGCACCGGTTGTCAAATATCAGCCTTTGGGTAGTTAAGGCAAGCATAGTCGCCTTTTACGGCAAGTATGGGTTGCTGAAGACTGTTCTACCCCGGAATCTTCACGTATTACAGTTATACATCACAATCTTCGTACAGCTGGAGCCGAGTGTCGCAGCGAGAGAAAAACACACACTAATGTTACCGACTCACCCAAGCGGCAAGAGCCTGTCGGGATGGGGGTGTACTACTCAGGGGATTTTACGGGTTCTTCTCATGATGAAGCCAGTACGCTCACATTTAAGCCAAATGACAATTCATTTAAAGACATCACTTATGCAATCTATCAGCTGATCCCTTCTGTTAAACCACCAAGCAACGATGAAACTGAACCGGTGCTTATTGAGCGGACAGGTTATGAAGATCCTGTAGAAACGAAGGAAGGTTTTCATACATTGCTTTATCCGTTGTACACTGAAAATGTGGTCACAAATAATGAATGCTGAATTTAATGCTTCTACCAGCAGAAGTTTCAGTCTGCCCTTTCCCCACAAAGGGAGACAATGCTTTACGACACACAATTACCCGTTTCCCACGTCTCCTGCCATCGACGAGGAATATTTTGATCTGGTGAGACATCCGACTACAAAGATAAATGTCCAGATGAATAAATTCAAAGAATTAGACACTGTCAATAAGCCATGGTACATATCAGCATGTACATGAACTGGTTTGCGGCGGGCATCAGGCATGTCAACAGTGAGGAATTTGCAAGTCAGCCATGACACAAAAGTAGAGATGAACCTGGAACAGGTTGGGTTTATCCTCAGTGCGCCCGACAGCATTCTCAAGGTGTGCGAAGATCTTCAATCTCCACAAGAATGGATGTCCACACAATTACTACTTACACAACATAATCATCTCATTCAACAAGTTAGACACAATATCTTTGATGACCGTCTAAGGCGTAGTTTGATGTCACAGTCGAATATCAATAGTGCCACGGCTCTTTTACACGGATTATCACTTCCATCATCGGCTTTGCTCATCTAAATCTTGTAAGGCTCCACAGCTTATTCAACTCCTATCTCATTTGGGTTTCCTGGTACATCCAATCAGGTCAGAATCAATACGAACTCAAGACATATTGAGTACATAGGGCCGAGGTTTCAGCTTTTAAAAGGCATCTTAAAACCCCCAGAGGAAAGATATTTAAGAGCATGAGGGATCATCCAAAATACATTCGACCAACCCAGCAGGTCACGTCGTTGGTGGATGTCTTTCCTAGGAACATTGACATCACTCCAAGATATTACTTACAGAGTGAGGCTTCAGTTACATCCACTACAAGCTTGGATGAATACTACCAGCGATATGGAACTGGAAGATATAGCACAACCCCCTCACAGCCATCCATCAGAACTACATTGGTGTCATGCTAGGCATCCCACTTGTATTTCCCACGGTACATCCCTTATACACATACGCCTCAGGCGAAGGTTGGGGCGTGCATATGGATGCCGTCACAGTCCACTGAGTGTGGTCAGACGAAGACAAGAAGTTACATATAAATTGTCTGGGAATGAGAGCCATTATTCAAGCAATCAAGGCATGATCTACTGCACCACACATCAGTACTGATAGTCACAGACACCAAGGTGGCAGCTTACATACAACACCAAGGGGGTACAAGATCAGCACTTTTGATGAGGGATGCTCTTATTCGGTCAGTTGCAGGATAAAAGCACCGCACATACAGGGTAAAGTGAACATACTTACAGACTGCCTATCCCCGAAACACAAGATTGTACCCGAGGAATGGCCCCTCCATCCCAGGGAATTCAAATGGATCACCTGAACGTGGGATACTCCTCATCTGGATCTGTTCGCTACATGCCTAAACCATCGACTTCCCACATAAGTCAGCCCAGTTCCAGATCCATTAGCCCTTCAGGTTGACGCCCTATCAATGAGTTGGCAGGGGATGTTCGCCATCGCTTTTCCACTTTGGTCTCTCCTGGACAGAGTAATAAGAAAGGACACAGATTGCATCATAATTCTGATAGCCCCAGCATGGTCAAAGAGAGCGTGGTTCCCAAGACTTTCCACTACTCATAGGGGAACCTCTCAAACCACCAGAACGTCACGATCTCCTCCGCCAAATAAAATCAGACATATTTCACGGCAACCTCGTCAAGCTCCACCTTAAATTCACTCCCAGAAACTATAGCGGCAGAGATACACGTTTCCGGTTTCTCTAAATCAGCTTCAGAAGCGGTGGCTAGCTCATGGAGACCAGCAATCTTTTTACGTCAGATGAAGAAAGTTCCAGTGGCGAATAGAAAGAGGTTTGAAAGACGAGACTATAACAATACCTACAGTGGCTTATTTGGTACTTCACCTTAGAAATCAGACATGGCACCATTGAAGGCCATAGCCTCAGTACTGAAACATGATGGACTATCCGAAGGCTCTCACCCAGCATAAAATCATTTTGCAAAAATGGAATTTATCCTTCTTACTGTCACCCTGATGGAAGCACCGTACGAGCCAATGACAGAGACAGCTTTATATCTCTTGCAAGCCTTCATCAGTAAGGGACATCACTAAGGCTACTGTCGCAGGATGGCTTAAAAACACTATATCTGATAGTTACCGTCAAGCCCAGCTATCAACACCAAAATGGAGAAGTTGCAAGGCACATGAAATTTGTCCAAAAGCAACAAGCCTGACCACATGGAACAAGTGGTTTCAAGCTGCCAATGAACATCCCACAATACAACACAATCTAGAGGGACTATGTTCCCTGGGCCCCTTGGTGGCTGCCCAGGCTATACTCAGTAGCCTCTCCATCCCATTTTCTTTTGAAGATCCCAGATAATACCACAAATTGAGGTAATTTACCTTTTAGGTTATTATTGACTAGGTTGGGCAGATCATAGGCTAATATCTGTTATCATAGATCCTAGGTGATATGGTTATTACATCGTTAGTCGCCCTGCGTAACATGTGTAGCTACCGGAGGTGTTCCATGGGAGACTTCAGAACCGGAATTAACGTCAG